GCTGTTCATCACCAGTTTATAGCAGGAGTTATTACTTGTCATGGCTGAGATCAAATGGATTCAACATTTTCAAGAAAAAGAAATTCAACATGTGAAGGAATTTATTGATCCTTTCACCCCAAGCAAGGCAATAATCCTACTAGGGTGCAAGGGGGTTACTGGGAATGAAAGAGAATGAGAAGACTTTACTGAAGAGAAATGACAATAAAAGAACAGGAGATGGCAATTGGTGTTGCATATAAATTTTTGAAAATTGTTGGTGATAAGGGAGCAGGAAATCAGAAGGGAGTTCCACAGGTGAGAAGTGTGAGAAAAAGAAACTATTAAAATAGAACATATGGTTGGATCTAAGTAGTTAATCAGTAAAATGGTAAGACCTAGTTGCCAATCTAGTAGCACATTTAATCATGTTTTTATATATATATATATATATATATATATATATATATATATATATATATATATATATATATATATATATATATATATATATATATATATATATATATAAGAATAAAAATAGCCCACAAAAGAAGAGGAAGGAAATTATATCTATGTGTATACAGATAGCCCCCCAAAGAAGAAAAACATGTTTAATTGTAATGCATACATATTACATATGTATATGCACTCCACATGGTTGGGATGAAATTAAGTAGTCAGCTGCTCAGGTAGTGTCTCCCCGTCAAAGAGTCCCATTGTAGTTGCTATTACATCTCGGAGAAAAAAGTGGAAGAGTTAATCCTTTATTTTAATACTGCTGATTACCATGCTGTGCAGTAGATATTCTGGCCAACAAGATGGAGAAATCTTCACAGGGTAAAGTAGTTTAAATGGTCATGGGAGACATTGTTCTCACCTTTATCATTAGGTAGAAATTATAAAAGAATCGGTGAAATATAGGAAAAATAATGAAGTTAATCAGAGTATAGCATAATACCTATCTCATAATTTTGCATGAATGGGAGCAAAATTAGTATTTCTGATATTAGTGACATATTGGAGATAGTGGCAAAATTGAATAGAGATAGTTGTGAGAGCTACTTATATCTTCTGGTTACACTATCAGTGAAAGCAGAATTTTTGGGCCACTGCCAGCTGTGTAAGACTGCTGTTTTACCATTTATTGACAGAATAGATTACATCTTAATTTGAACACAAGTTACCTGGGCAATTTTAGCTGAGGAAACAAAGAGTGTCTAATAATTTCCCTTAAGACTTTAAACTATTTTCACTTTGCTTAGCAAAACTGTTTGGTCCAAAAAATTAAAAGGAAATTTAAAAAAAAAATAACACTCCTGCAAGCCTTTTGCTTTATGGCTTCAGAAATTTTATGTTTTCTTTGTAAAGAAAATTTTTGCCCTAGAAATTAAATTAGAAAATCTATTATACAGTAATGCACTTACTGAGTAAGTGCCTAAAATATTCCAAGTTTATTTACCCAGACAATTTCAGTTACCATGACTCCATTAATTATTACCTGCTTTTGCTTTATGTAATCTCAATTAGCTGAATTAACATTTTTGATACTTTGCCTATTCAGCACCAAAATTATATAATATCTCCCTTTTAGAAATTGTCATTTTCTATTCCATACACTGTTGTGTAATACCTGCTTTCAAGTGATGCTATATAATCTCTTGGCAATACCCTACACACATCCATAAATTATTATTATTTTTTTTACAATGATTTTCACCCTGTGCAAGGCCCACTCGAGGTAAATGGTTACAGAGTAAGAGGCTCAATTTATGGGGATATGTGGGGGGAGACAACAGTTATGTTAAGCAAATTAAACATTTGTTTTAATATCCTGCTATTGAAGAAACACTTTTTTATCAAAATGATTCCTAAAAAATCGCTTTGCATTTTATACCCTGATGGTTGGGTCACCAGTAGTAATAGGCTAGTATATAAACACCCTTGTTTGGTATCGTAGCCCCCTGATGCACCCAGATTGAGATATGGTTGTAAATGATTAAATTATAATTACAAATAAAGATAATGTTAAAATATAAACATAACAATATATCAGTATAAATAAATCTTTGTTTAAGTATTGTTATTTTTTTTTAAATATCACTTGCCAAATTATAGGTATGGCTGAAAATATAGTAGTTAACTAATTTTATTACATGCTAATGTAAGACATTATAAATTCTGGGCTAGTCTGATGCATTCATTTCACACAAATGCACTTGGAAAAACATGAACCTTTCTCCTTGGTTAAATAGCAGGACAAACAGGGCTATTTTGTCTTGGTTGGTAACCAGTCTAGGAGAATGAAAACTCCAATCATGGAGAAGACAGCCAGAAACCATTCCACTATCATTCCCCAGAATGCATGGTAATTCACAGATAATATGGAAAAGGAATCTGTAGAAAGTAATGATCACCTACATTCCTGAAGGGATAGGGCATTTAATAAAAAAAAGAGAGAAAATGTTCTTCATGTCATTAAAGCCACTGCTACCTTATGGTTAATATAGCTCTCCATGTATTTGTGTTTTGTTTCTTATTTCTTTTTTTATTTAATATTCTTAGATTTCATATTAGGTAGGTTTATAATTTGAAGTAAATTCAATGTAATCAGTTACTCTATGTTTGCATAGATTTTACAAATTAACTATTGGAAATGAAAAAATAAAATACAATAAACTCCTTGATATCAGTTTTACTCCAGCTTAAATATCTGTAATGGTGAAACTTTAATTTAATCCGTCTACTGTTTTGTCACTGTAACTACATTTTGGGATCATGAATTTCTAGACATTGAGAAAATATTATTTTTCTGACTATCTACGCATTTTTAAACATCAGCATTTTGATTAAAAAGATTCCATTTTCTGGTTCACTGTATACCTCTGTCTTCTTTAAGAAATGCTACAGTTTTTGACTTTTGATTGACATTCATCTCTATAATTATTTTATCATGGAACCAAATCACTAACCTTTAGTTATTTATCTGCCCACACAGTTATTATACTCTCTGATGTAATAAATTCTGTCTTCTGATTGGCTAAATCACTGACTCTACAGTAGACTTTGTTTTTTTTTTCGTTTTTTGTTGGTTATTCATTTATTGTTTATTTTTTATCACTGTCTTAATCCATGATGCTTCATGTTCTTTTGCTGTTCATAATTATTAACAGTTAATACTTTCTTTTGCTTCTGAAATAATGTTATCAGAGTAAGATTTAATAATTGTAACTTGCAGAAATTTATCCAAGATCAACACTGGATACTCTTTATCAGAACTGTAAAGTTAGGCTTATTCATACTGTATAGTTTTCAAGCATAAAATATTAGTAAAAATGATTTAAACACATTTTTGCTGGTACAAAAATTTAGTATAAGAAAATTGAACATAGGATAGGCTCTGCTAGGGGGAGTTTTATCCAACACTACAAAATGCTACAAAATCATGAAGAGAATGTATACTAAAATATATATTAATGTATATTAAAAAAGGAGGTATGGTGGAGTAATGGATAGTGGCTTGGATTGAGTAATTGAAGAGCCGTGTTTGAATTCTAGTCAAATCCATTACATTCACTTACGTGCTAATATCCTTGAGAAAGATATGAATTCTCTTCTTCCCCACCCAATTATGGGTAAATAGAAAGATAGACTGAGTTCTATAGCCTTGGATGGCAACTGGTCTAGGAGAAGGACAACTCTTGAGTTCAAAACCTAAGGAGGGTTGTTTTGGGGACCTTTTGGCACATGGTGCATCAGGTATCCAACTCTTCAAAAAGTGTGGTTGGTTCTGCACAAAACCTTCACCACTATAATCAAATCATATGTGCTGGTGTCTGGTTATCGGTTCCTAGGAACTGAGCAGCTTAACCTTCGTACGTCGAGTACAATGGGGGAGTCTACCATATTAAAAAAAATATTGCCTAAATCAAATGTATATAATTAGGTGATTTTTAAGGAATATAATTTGGGTGGTTGGTTAAACTTTTAAAATTCAGATAATTTTGTTTTTTAATCATTTCACTAATAAAGTTACTAAGATGCAAAGGTTTACTGATTGTGAAAGTAAAAACAAATATTGTTAAGGAGAGAGAACAATAAAAGAACAGCAATAAGATAATGATTTGAATTGCATTTAAATTTTTGAAGATCAAAGTTGGCTGGAAAGCAAGAAGCCAGAAGAGAGTTCCATAAGTGAGAAGTGTGATAGAAGAAATTGTTAGCATAGAACTTATAGTTACATCTAGCCATTACAACTGAAAATAATGAGACCTTGCAACCAATCTTTAATAATTTAATAAATTTTGTTATATTTACTGAATTTAAAGTATTTCTTGAACACAATTAACCTGATCACTATAAAACCCCACTCTTTCAAGTCCTGTAAAACTCCAACTGTGAACTATGGGGCCAAAGCCTTAACATGTGAAGTGTTGCTGCTACGGTTTCTGTAGCAAGTCAGCTTTCATGGGATAGACTTACTAGCCCCATGTCCAACTGGTTTTGAATTCAGAGTTGTCATCCTACTAGACTGGTTTCTAACCAAGGCTGAAGAGCCAAGACTGCTTTACTATTTAATCTATAGCTCCAGAAAGAAGAGATGGATTCATACTTTTCTTCAGGGTATTTATGCAAAAGTGAATGTAAACTCAACAGGAATTCAAACTCGGTTTTCCAATTTCTTATTCCAAGCTGCTAATCATTATACACTCTCACTATAAAGTAGAAAAAAGGGTGAGGGGAAACACACTTTTGAGACCCATATTTTGTCAGATCTGGTAATGTTAGAAATATCTTTGCTATCAGCCGCTATTCCTGATTGCTAAGTGCAGTGTGGATGGATATTCTGACAAGTTATTTGGTCTTCACAGCTAATAACTGGTTCTTTGAATTTCATCAATCAATGAAGGGAGCCAATATTTTGAATTATATCATTACCTAAATCTATTGGTCTCTTTTACTGTTTACTTATACCTTTTTTTCTTTATCTCACTTTCTCTTCTCCCCTTCACTTCTTGCAGCTTTCTCTTTTCCCTTTTTCCCATCTCTCTCTTTCTTTCCTCCCCTCTCCCTACATGCCACTTTTTCTCTTTTCTATTATTCTTTTTGTTCACTCCCTTTTCTCTCATTTTCTCGACATACTTTGTTTTCCTCCCCTCTGCCTACATGCCTCCCTTTTCTCCCTACAGGCTTCCCTTTTTTTCTCTTCTTGCAGTCTTTTCTCCCTATGTCTTCCTCTTCTCTCTACATCTCACCCTTTTATTTCTTTTCCTTACATGCCTTCCTTTTCTCTCTTCTTTCTACATGTTTTCCTTTTCTTTCCTATATGCTTTCCTTTTCCCCAATCCTTTATGGTAATCTAGACTACACATATAAAATTCAATATGCATCCCCCTCACAAACACACTTATTTTTATATTCTTGGGAAACACTTTTCATAGATTGAACAAATACCACACTTTGATCCTACACAGATGTCCCATGGAGTGACATTTTGATCTTAGCCAGTACACACTGATATCCTGATCTTAGGTAGAAATGCTGATACATATGTAAATAACCCTATCACTTTTGACAGATACTATGCTGGTTATTAATAATTCATGTGCTTTTAACAAAATTATAAGTGTTCCATTCAGAGGTTTGTTGGAGGATAGCCCAGTGCAGACAAACTTAAAATATTGATGCCTCTTTCTAATATTATTGTTGGAGAATCCTAGTCAACGCTGTTAAACATACTTCACAGTACAGAAGCAATCAATTGCTTTATTCTTCCCGCAATCTTTCATATATTGGCTTTTTTTTCCTTCTATGCATTCTCCTCCTTAAGTGATAACTCAACTTCTGCATTTTGAGAAATATCCTTCTGCATAACCATTATTTCATCTTTGCTGGTTCACAAACTGAAGCAATAATTACACTCTGTTTACTGAGTAGTTTACTTTACCACATTGAACTCATTCACTTGATTTCATACATTTTCTACAGGACTGAATAATTTTGCCTTCAGTTTTCCTTGAGGAGATCAATTTTTACTGCTTGATTTTATTGCCATTTATTCACTGTGCTATTGTTTATTACCTTAATCTACTCTTGTTATCATATTTGTGTGAACTTTGCTTCCTGGACTGACCAAACAATAAATGAAGATCTGTATTTTTCAAGCAGCTCCTAATTCAATCTCTGTTGAAGTTTTGATCTGTCAGTGGTTCATATGAGTTGTCAGTTTCATAGCTTCATTTCCTTACCATAGTAGGCATCTGTTTATCTCATGAGATAAAGGTAGCACCCTGTTTATTGGTGAGACTGGAGTGACCTCTCCAGTGCACAGGCCTGAGCAATGATATATGAAGGCTGTGCACTATCTTACCATAATCAATACTTAAATTGGCAGGTCCCTTTGTAAAAAGTTTACTTAGATGGGTAACCTCTTGGGAATACTAAGTGCTATAAGTCTGGATGTGCAGGTGGTGTAATGGATAATGGCTCAGAATTGTTAATCAGAGAGCCAAGTTCCAACTACCATTTGGAAACATTATATTCACTTATGTGCAAATACTCTTGGGAAAGGTATGAAGCCACCTCTTTCCCCTAGTAAGATTTGTATTACTAAACCATTATTATCTCCTCCCCAACAAAAACTTCTTACAATTTTAAAATATTTTATGGCTTTAAATAACCCGCAGAAAATGAACAAATGAATGAATCAATCATAAAATGTAAGGAAGAATTTCTTTTTTAAATAATTTTTATAGATTAGCATTCATTAGACTTTTTGGTAGAATTGAAAAATATTGATTTTTTTTTATCATTTTAAAAGACATTGCCTGTTTATAATATAAAATATGTGAAGTTGATCCCTGACTTCTTAAAAAGTTATCTGTAGTTTGTTTCTATTTACAAATATCAAGTTTGAAACTGTACTTATGTCAGTGATAAATGCTTAATTTACAAATTGAGAAAAATGACAACATCAGTAACATGCAATTCTCAATGACCTAAGCACAGTGTGAAACTTGATAAACTTGTAAATAAAAACAAGTACAGATAACTCTTTAAGAATTATTGATTTCACATTGTATTTATCCCTGCTTCTATAATCATAAAAAAATCAATATTTTTCAATTCTGAAAAATGTCATGGCTTGAGAAATATCCCATTAAAGATTATTATCCCTCAAAATTTTGCCCTTTTTTATATAAGTGGAGCAGTCAATTATTTTGTTTTATAAGTGGACCAGTCAATTAATCAAGTATTGCCCTTACTCTATTTTAATTTTTTTTAATTCTTTACATTGATACAAATTTACTATTGATTGAATTAAAATCTGTCTTGCAACAGGATTCATGAACATATAATGCTCATTGATAAATTTGTGGTTTTCAAGTTTGTTGCTTACTAGTAAAAGTCTAATTCATATAAAACTAAGAAAAGGAGACTTGAGGCAACAGAGATGTGGTTTTACAGAATGATGCTAATGTAATGTTATCATTGCAAAGGCTAATAAGAACACAAAATTAAAACTCTCTTTTATGTAAATTGTTTATTTACTTCTAGATATTGTCAATTAAAATTGATGTTATTTACATTATTCGGACTATTGTCCTCACCTTTGTCGCCATATTTATTACAACATTTTGGCTGTTGTACACTCTGGCCTTCTTCCGGTGGTTGGAATGTCGAACTGAACCATTTATTTCGCTCACTGGGGTAGACTGTTCTCGTGCCATGTCTAATGGATGTCAGTTATCAGTTATCTCCTGTTAATTTCCCTCTGAAAGTTCTCCGCTGCCTTAACCGGGTATTGAACTCACACTCTTTGGGTCCTGTCACTGGATCTAACTAACGCCTTTATCCCCTGTGCCATGTGTCCTCAAGGATAAAAAAGACTTCTTTTTTACTTAACTGTATGCTTGTTAAATCCACAGGATTTAAGTGATGAAAATAAACAAAAATTAAAAAAAAAAATGGAATAAATTAGTATTACACTTGTTTATTCAGAAATGTAGATATTACAGGTATAGGAATTTATTTGACATTTGAAGTAGCACATAAACTTGAAAATTAGTCAATCACACAAATTTATTTAATCAAGTTCATCAAATTTACACTCCATGAAAATTAATACTATATTTTGGATAAAAAGCAAAAGCTGATCTTTGACCTTTGTGAAGTTTTAATATCAGCAATTTTTTCTCATAAAAACATGCATGTCTTTTTAAAAATACCTTTTTTTTTAATTTTCAAAAGATAGAATTCTGTATTTAATTTCTATGTGTAAGAATTATTTTTCTCTTTCCAAAATTATGTGTTATTATCTAGACATGCTTAATATTTCAACTTGTAAACTTAAATTACATATTAAGAAAGAAAAAATACATATATATATTAGTCATCCACAGACAGACTGTTTTACTGTTTCACAGCTCATCAGTGTGGCTAGACATCCGATTGCCTCAAGCTGGGATCAAAACCCAACTGATTTGGTATCAGGTAGAGAATCTACCCATAAGCCATTAGTGCATGGCAGGGACGAAGTTGAATTTAAGCATATTTATTTTTAGATAAACATGCCAGTGACTGAGAGAACTTGATTTTTTTAACGAAGAGTCTTGCATTAGGAGCAATAATAGTTACTGTTTACAAATTCACTTTTTAAATAAAATTAAAAATATTTATATATATATTAAATAATTCACCCTTCATGATAACAATTTTTTGAAAGAACCAGATTTTTATGGTTTCAAAAGCTTAAAAACTGTACCATTCATTGAACAATTATATACTTTTGATAATAATTTATTAGGAATCATTAATTGTATCTCTTTTCATAAATATAAAAATCATTTTTAGAGGCACGTTGTAAAAAACATTCATTCATCCAACAAAACAGCCAACTTTTACAAGTTTACTCCTAAGGATTATAATATTTAATTAAAAAAACTCAACTAAAAATTATAGAAAAGTAGATAATAATATTGTTAATTTAGTTGACAAAATTAATGCAATGAGCAAAACCTTGTGTTTTTTGTGTTCCCTTTAGCTTTCAGAAAAGAGGTAACACTTTGCTTTGAAATTTTCTTAAAAATCATTTAATAACCAGTTACTTACCTGAAGAGGCAAAAGTTGCCAAAACATGAAAGCTATTGTGTAGAGATTTCAACATGTTGTAATATCTTATATTAAAATAATAATAATATATTGCTCTACTTTATATTGAGCACTTTTTAAAAATAAATGCTATGAACAGCAGAATTTTACTTCATCTGTTCTTTCTCTCATTTAAATATATATATATATATAGTCTGGGTTTCAATAGCAATACATTTGACATTTTTTTAAATATATATATATATATATATATTAAAATAATAGAAAAGAACAATGAGATTTATAATTCAGAGTTCTTAGCATTTATTTTTATTTTTAAAAAACAGTGCTCAATACAACAGTAGAGCATAATATTATAATTTTTTTTTGAAAAATATATTATCATCGCAATACTAAAATTCCCATGCTTCAAAACTGAAACTTTGAATCAAATTCAATTATAAAAATTAAACTTAAAACACAAAGTTCTGTTCCATTATCAAGCGATGCTAAGAATAACTTTTTAGAAATTGATTTACTTAATTTATAAGTCCAGACAAATTTGATATTTTGAGATGTTAGGGTTAAGGAAAATTCAATATTTTTTTATTTTAGGGGTGTTAAGATTTAACTTACTTAGAAAACTCATGTATTTAATGTATTGTAGCTATCAAGTCGGGCAAGTCAAGGTGGGGGCTGGGGTATCTGTCCATTGACACAAACTTCCTTTTTTTTTCAAGTAGAAATTTGTGGTAGTGTCTATGTTCCAATACATTGTCTGGGTTTCAATAGCAATACATTTGACATTTTTATATTTAATTTAATTTTATTTTTATATAAATTTCAATTACGATTTTTTCAAAAGGGGCATTCAAATATTATTTAGTCACATTTTTAATATTTATATTTTTATTCAGACCGACTTAAGATATTATATTTATTTACTAACTGAGTACATGTATGGTAATGTTAAAATTAATATATTAGAATCTAATTATGTATTCATAAACTATTTTATTTATGATCAAATATAAATATGTTAGTTTCATTTTATAAAATTAGCTATTACTTAAGGAAAAAATTTGGCAATGTCTACAAAAAAAATCGCTATTTCATTTCTTTGATTTAATAAATTCTTGCTTTTCAGGAACTTAATAATATATAACTTTTCATGTATGCAAAAATGACATGGGTCATTTAAAGATTTACAAGTTTTTTTTTTTTAATTTCCATTTTACTGTTTGTGTTTTATTGGTTTCTTTTAAATGCCAGA